AGGGCAACCTGGGGTGCGGGGCCTGCGCGGGGGTCCCGGTGGGGGCGGCGCTGAGTGTCCCGGCGCGGGTCTCACTCCCCGCCCCGCCGCGGCGGCTGCCAGGTCCCCACCCGCTTGGCTGCCAGGCCCCCCACCCGCTCGGCGAGGGAGCCGGCCCGCCCCCCCCCCAGCTCCCCGACGCGACCCCACCCCGCGGTGCCCCCCCCCTCCCCCGCCCCAGCGCCCCTTAAGGACGCGGGGGCCTCGCGGCCAGACCAGCTGCTCTTCCCCCGCTTGCGGGTTCTTCGCGGTCCTCCTCGCCTGCCCGGATGGGGTGAGTCGCGGGGCCACCTGCTCTGGACAAAATCTGAACCCCTTGTGTGTCCTGAACCCCTTGGTTCCAGCGCCCTCCTGCTGTTTTCCTGGTGCCTCTGGGGAGCACTTACTATTTGGGCTTGCCAAGGGCTTCCCCCTGGTTGGCCTGGGCACAGGCCCGCGGGGTTACTCGCCTGAACCCTGACCGGTGTTAGGACCCTCTGCAGCTTCTCTTTGGAACCCTTCCTCCCGCCCCCCTCTTACTGCCTTTCCCTTCAGGGCTGGTAGGAAGAACCTGCGCTGCCCCTTCCCCCGTCTTTCAGTGGGTGCCTGGCTGGCCTCCCCAGGACGCAGGACCTCGCACCCTCGTGGCCAGCCCCTGCCTGCACCCCCGTGGCCAGCCCCTGCCTGCTCCCCGTGGCCAGCCCCTGCCTGCACCCCCGTGGCCAGCCCCTGCCTGCACCCCGTGGTCAGCCCCTGCCTGCACCCAGTGGTCAGCCCCTGCCTGCACCCCCGTGGCCAGCCCCTGCCTGCACCCCCATGGTCTGCCTCTGCCTGCACCCTGTGGTCTGCCCCTGCCTGCTCCCCATGGTCAGCGCCTGCCTGCACCCCCATGGCCAGCCCCTGCCTGCACCCAGTGGCCAGCCCCTGCCTGCACCCCATGATCTGTCCCTGCCTGCACCCCATGATCTGTCCCTGCCTGCACCCCCGTGGCCAGCCCCTGCCTGCACCCCGTGGCCAGCCCCTGCCTGCACGCTGTGGCCAGCCCCTGCCTGCACCCCATGGTCTGCCCCTGCCTGCACCCCCGTGGCCAGCCCCTGCCTGCACCCCATGGTCAGCCCCTGCCTGCACCCCCGTGGTCAGCCCCTGCCTGCACCCCCATGACCTCTTGTCGGCAGTAGCAGAGCAGAGCTTCAGGTGGCACGACCTGGTGCTGGGCGGGGACGCGCCGTCTGGTGTTTCTCTAGTGACCTCTGTCTGGGGAGCAGAGGCAGGTGTCTTCCTCTGACCGTCTTGTGTACCTTGAGTCCTTAGAGAAAACGATTAGTTTTCCCCCTTGAGGTCAAGTTTCATGAAACTTGTGTTATTAATAGTATCTCTTAATTTGCTCATAGAAGTTACTGCTTGAGCATAGTAAGGCATGTTTTCTGGAAAAAAGGAGACGTCCACTTCTGAACGGGTGACGGTTCCCGGGGTTGTCAAGAAGCGTGCAGCCGCGTGCAATGGGTTGGTCTCCACACCCAAATATGGTGAGGTCCGAGGCGTATACCCCGTGCTATCCTGAAGGTGTGTGGCGTGGCCGCCGGGGTCATGCTGTAGTAAGGCTAGGCGGGTAGATGAGCCAGAGCCGGGAGGAGCGCCTGTGGCTGCTGTGTTTGTTGCGTCTCCTGTGGTAAGTGGGGGTTGTCTGCTTCAGAGTCTACCCTCTCGCTCGCCTCTGCCAGTTTGGGAACGGGCACTTCTGCCGTGCCTGAGTACTTCTGTAAAGTTGTTCTTTTACAAGGGAGAAACTCATAATACTAGTCTATACACCATAGAAAAGGAAACTTTTTTTTACGTGACTAGGTTGATTGAAAGAATTGCCCAGGTAGTAAGAGAAGCACCAGAGGGACCTGATCTAAATTGTCGCCCGCGCGAGGCTGCCGTTAATGTTCTCATGGCTGATGGATTGTGCCGGGCAGCTTGCTGGCGTAATTGCTAAATAGTGAAGACTTCAGGACTGAGGGTACATTTTTCTCTCATCTGACTTCAGCGTCTTCGTGGATTCTGCGTACACGTACAGTTCTGCTTTGTGGGGACAGGTTTAGGTGGCTGCTGGTCTTGTTGCTGTTCGAGAATAGACGTACCTAGTCGTTGAGGACTTTGGTTCTCGCTGCAGAGTACATTTGGGAGGTGTTGAGTCTTCCAAAAAGAGTGTCCATTACTAGCTTTGTGACCTTGTGCACATTTTACCTCTTAGTTGTCTTCCTTATATGGGGCTAAAGTGGGGATAAAAATCCTTGTGGCAGAGTTAGTGTGAGTACAGCAGGTCCCCAAACAGTGTGAGATACAAGGTCGCTCCATGACGATGATGAGGAGGAAAAAAACAACTGATTCCAGGCGGGGGCTGCTATCTGAGCATCTGGCACATTCTGCCTAGGTCCGCTTGGGTTTCTCTGGGCACTCTGGCTTCCTCCCGCATCCCGAAGGGTCACAGGTGTGCCCCGGTTGTCCTAGTGAGAGGGTGGATGTGAGTGAGTGTGAGATGCCCCGACCACTGAGGGTGTCCCGTCCGGAGCAGGTCCCGCCTTGTGCCTTGAGCTTCCTGAGTAATAGGCCCCGGCCACGCGCATCCATCAGCTGGGATAAGCGGGTTGGAAAATGAACGAATGAATGATTGCAAATGGTCGTTGAGTCTTAGAAGTGTTTGGAGGTCTTTATTTAGAAGTGTGGCGTTTTTGCCACTGGAAAAACCAGAGTGAGCGTAACTCCTGCCTGTCAACAAGCCTGTGGCCGCGGTCGGTTTCCTCGTGCTTCCTTTCCCTTAGAGTAGAAGTTCCCAAGGACGAGCAGCTACTTAAGTGAAGACTTGCTCTCCCCTGGCCTCAGGATTCCGCCCGGTTCCGCGTCTTTCTGAGCACCCCCTCTGCCTCACCACAGAGTTATGCTCCAGCCGTTCTGTTCCTCAGCATTTGAGCTGCTGCCGACCTCCTGACCCATGGCGTGGTCGTTCTCTTTGTCTAGAAAGGTCTGCGGTGACTCCTGGGGTTGGTTCATTCTCAGGTCCGTTGCTGGGATTTGCTGGGATCACCTCAGAGTAGCCTCATCATCCCTTCTTACCAGTTTATGTGTTGCTGTCTTAATATTTTTTACTGTTTGTAGCTTTTTTCCTGTTTGGTCTCCCCATGTGAGTTTCATGAGGCCAGGGTGTGATCTGTCTGTCTCCTCTGTTCCCCGGCACAGCCCATGAGACCCAGCCACTGAGCAGGGATGTGGTGACCAGAGAGTGGGTGCAGTTTTTTTTTTTTTTTTTAACCTTGATCCCTACACTTTAAAGGCAAAGACTTGCTGTGGAGATCTTAGACATCTGGCTTTGTGTGTGTGTGTGTGTTGCTCATTTATTCCTGCTTGAACTGAATAGATCTTAGCACACTGTGCAGATAGCCCCACGCAGAGAGCTGTGCGTCCGTGACATAGCCAACTGGCCGGTCAGCAAGACTACCAGCCGCCATCTCTTCTGGAAGCATATTTATTTATAGTGTGTGGACAGTCACCACACCATTGCACTTTCCCTTGATGTTAGTTTGCATAGTTTATAAGGTAAAACCTCAGTTATCGGGTATAGAGTTAAGCAGGAAGGAAAAACTCTTTTGGAATTAGAGACCTACACTACTCCAGTTACAGCTGGTGAAGACAGTCTTTCGTGGCGGGGCAGATCTAGGTTTGAATTTCAGCACTGATTTTATAGGGTAGGCTTTTATTTTTATTTTTTAAAGATTTATTTTATTTATACAAGCACTGGTACAGTCAGAAGCACGGGAGGGTGAGAGGATTCACCAGAGCCGGAGCCAGGAACGGAACAGGCAGACTGACGAAATACACTGCTGAGGGGAGCAGTGGGTGCGGCAGGAGAGGTCTGCGTCCACGGGTCGCTCGCTGGCAGCCGGGGATCAAATATGCGCTGCAGAGGCTGCAGGCAGCTTCGCAGCCCAGCGCTCAACCGCTGCGCCACCAGGGGAGGCCCTAGGGTAGGTTTTTAAAGTAAACGTGTAAGTCTTATTTTCCTTAGCGTAGTGCCTTTCTCAGCATAGGTGTAAAAATTAAGTGAGATAAGGCATAGAAATGGTATGAGTTCAGTCTTTGGGATATAACAAGTGCTGATACAGTGAGGCTTCATTTAAAATACACTGCGATCAGTTAAAAGGAGAGTTTGGTTAATCAGCAACATTTAGGTAAGGCTTGGTTTTTCTTGTTCAGTAAGCCGGGGAAAAGGTCCAAGAAGGGAAAAGAGGGCCTCCCTGGTGCCGCAAGGGGTTAAGCTGCAACCTATGAAAGTGTCCGCAGCCTCTGCAGCAGGAGTTCAATCCCCAGCCAGGGAGTTACCCACATGGCACTCAGACCTCTCCTGCCGCGCCTGCTTCTCCCCTCAGCACTGTATTTCGTCAATCTGCCTGTTCTGTTGCCCGCTCTGGCTCTGGTGAATTCTCTCCGGCCTGTACCCCAGTTCTTAAATGCATAAATAAATCTTTAAAAAAAAATTTAAAAAAGAGAAGGGAAAAGAAAATGGAAACAAAGGAGGGAGAGGTGGGAGCCTGCCCAGCACTGATGACGCCAGGTGCTAGGATTTGGGGGGCTGCTCCGACAGCGCCTGGGTTCTGGGCACGCTCGTCGCAAGTCGGTTGGTAGGGGAGGGAGAACAACAGAGGTACTTAGAGCGACCTGCAGCGCCCATGTCCCATTCTCATATTGTCTGCTCTAATATTTTATTGCTCCTAATAGCCATCACACTAATATTTTTCTTTTTTTAAAGATTTATTCATCTACGCATACAAGACCTGGGGTACAGCCAGAAGCGCGGGAGGGTGAGAGAATTCACCAGAGCCAGAGCGGGGAGCAGAGCAGGCAGAAGGACCGAAGTACACTGCCGAGGGGAGCAGCGGGCGAGACAGGAGAGGTCTGCTGCGCCATGTGGGTTGCTCCCTGGCCAGCCGGGGATCGAACTCGTGCTGCAGAGGCTGCAGATTGCTTCCTAGTGTGGTGCTTAACCCCTTGCGCCACCAGGGAGGCCCCTAATATTTTTTCTTAATTATTAAGAGTGCATCGCAGTTGGGCACGATGTTTAGGGAGCAGGCACTGCCCTGTTGCCCCTGGGAGCACACTCTTGAGTGGTAGAGAAGAAGGAAAGAAGAAAAGATTGAGTCTTACTGAAGAACATTAGCAACCCTGGATGGTGTCCCTGTGCCATTCTGAAATGTTCCAGCAGGTTTTTGGCCTTTGACGAGGCCTCTGCTGCACACAGCACTTCAGTGATAGCGCGCGATTGTGTTTCACACACACACTTGTGTTTAACTCACCTCCCTTAGGAAGGCGGAGGACTGCCTGGCTCCCATTAGGTAAGATCTCCGTCAGTGACAATTTTAAGAACTCAGCGTTATTAACACTATTTAGACAAGATGAATTCACCACGTGCTCTAAATAGACAGTTATTTTGGTGCTGTTTATGTTTGTGCTTGTGATTTTTGTGATAAATGTTATTCTGGCCGCGCCAGTGACCCTGGCGGGCGGGTTGAAGGACTGCTCTCCTGCGCGCTGACAGGAAGATGGCATTTCGTTGGGAGACTTGTGACTGTGTTGTTTCCTCGGCGAGTTTAATTTTAATGTTACAGTATGAAGGTATTTTTTAATTAGAGCCTAATTTTGGTTTTAAGGACTATCTGCCCTCTGATAACAGTCATCTTTGTCTGTTTACATTGCTTTTCAAGTTAAGCTTATTTAGAAAATAACATTGCCGGCTACCAAACTGGCAGAATAAGTGCGCGTGCACCATCGCCTTGTGTAAGTATTTCAGTGGTTTTGCACATTTCCAGAAATACTTCATTTTAGAATTGGATGGAACCTTCTGCTTATTGACTAGTTTCATCTTTGCACAGATGAGGAAACGGGACTCGGCGCGGGTGTGTAATCTGCGTGTGTTTTAGAAGGGCGTCTGCTGGGCGCGGCTCCTCGTGCCGCTGGCGCAGGGTGTTTTCATTTACCTGGAAGTGAGGGGTTTGGGGTCAGTGTCTTCGTGGAGGAAGTCATATTTGAGTTGGCCCTTAGAGGGGACCGTGCTTGACTGGGGAGAGCTGTGGACAGTGGGCAGTATCTCAGATAGGGAAATAGGACCTACGCCGTCAGTGTAGACATTTGTTTCTCCTCTTTCCTAAGTGGGAGTCCCTATTTTCTGTTTCTTAGTTTAATTCTTGATCTGATGGAGCGCATCTTCCTAGTAACTTCTGAGAAAGGTGATGGGAGAGTTGTCTTTTTGTTTGAGACCTTGCATGTCAGAAATGTCTAGGTCTCAAGTACAAGATTTATTATCTGGCTGTGTGTAGAATTCTAGGCTAATGCAGTAGGATAGAATAGGTTATGCTGTAAACCTCTGTGCGTAACATAAGCTTATTTATTGCTTTTGCCAAGTCTGCTGTGGCCTCAGGGTTTCTGCAGTGGCTCTTTTTTTTTTTAAAGATTTATTTATTTACGCATAGAAGAGCTGGGGTACAGGCCAGAGGTGTGGAGAGGTGAGTGGATTCACCAGAGACAGAGTGGGGAGCAGAACAGGCAGACTGACTGAAATCCACTGCTGAGGGGAGCAGCGGGGAGACAGGAGAGGTCTGCTCGCCATGTGGGTAGCTCCCTGGCTGGGGATCGAACTTGTGCTGTAGTGACAGCTTCATAGGTTGCGTCTTAACCCCTTGCACCACTGGGGAGGCCCGATGCATGTCACTTGCTCACAGTCCGGTGGCCTGAAGCAGTCACATGCCCCTGCAGGATGCTGAGATGTGGAAGCGCACCAGTCATTGCCTCTGAAGCTGTGCTGTGATGAAAGTAAATTTTCGCTTGAATTCTGAAGGCCTTGCTCCACCAACCTCCAGCTATCAGTGTTACTACTAAGCTGCCATCTGTTTCCTAATCATTTGTATGTAAATTTTTGTTTCTGGAAACTTTTCAATACCTTTGTATTGTCTCCTGAGTTTTCACCCTCGTATGTCTGATTCCCCGCCCTCCATGGAGTGGTGAGTCCTCTCAGTCTGTAAACTAATGTCCTTCAGTTCCAGGAATATTTTAAAAATGTGCTTTATAATTTCTTCCTTTCATTTGCTTTTTTTCCTGAATGGAATGTTTTCTTTTTTGGATGTTGGACCTCCTAGATTAATATGTTAATTATCCTAGTTCTTTTTCTCACATTTAAGATCAGGTTTTTGTGGTTCTTTGAGGGAAAATCCCTTAATTTCTCTTCTATTGAATTTTAATAGGAACTCCCCCCTCCCCCACCCAACACACACCTTTTTTGTCTTTGAGTAAATACCTCTGACTCTTATTTCAGCTCGAGATGCCTTTCCTTAGCTTTGGGTTGTGTGGCCTTTGCTCAGGGCCCTGGGCCCACTTTCTCCAGTTTGTCCCGGCCACGTGGTTATCTCGTGTCGCTTTCCAGTTTTCTTTGTCCTCATGTTTTGGGGAGATAGTGGAGATAAAGAAGTGTATGTTTCTTCAGCAGCTCATCCAGAGTTTTTTGGTACTGTCTAGTAATTTTTAATCATTTTACTACTTGGTGGGAAAACCAAATTTAATTTTTGGTTTAAAGAAAAACAGGATGGGGCCTCCCCAGTGGCGCAGCGGTTGAGCGCTGGGCTGCGAAGCTGCCCGCGGCCTCTGCAGCGCCAGTTCGATCCCCGGCCACCGGCGAGGGTCCCACATGGCGCGCAGACCTTTCCTGCCACCCGCTGCTCCCCTCAGCAGTGTACTTTGTGCGTCTGCCTGTTCTGCTCTCCGCTCTGGCTCTGGTGAATTCTCTCACCCTCCTGAGCTTCTGACTGTACCCAGTGCTTGTATAAATAAATAAATAAATAAATAAACCTTTGGAAAAAAATAAATAAAAGCCGGATGTTTTCAACTAGTGGTGTCGTAAAGCCACATCTGTGTCATTGAGCCCCGTGTTAACTTAAGGTATGAAATGCCTAAGATGGGGAGCATGGATTATTTTAAGTTGGATCATTTTAAAAGTAAAAGGTAAAAGGAGATCCCATGTCTGGCTACCTATCGTAAGTGCTTGCTTTTGATGGTTAAGATACCATTTTGTACTGCATATAATCTCCTACATTTTGTAAGATTTTTTATTTACTTAGTCTGCATCATTCATCTGAATAATTATTACTCTTTTTTTTAAAAGATTTATTTATTTTATGTATACAAGCACTGGGTACAGTCAGAAGCGCGGGAGGGTGAGAGAATTCACCAGAGCCAGAGCGGGGAGCAGAGCAGGCAGAAGGACCGAGGTACACTGCTGAGGGGAGCAGCGGGCGGCAGGAGAGGTCTGCGCGCCATGTGGGACCCTCGCGGTGACCGAGGATCGATCCTGTGCTGCAGAGGCTGTGGGCAGCTTCGCAGCCCAGCGCTCAACCGCTGCGCCACCAGGGGAGGCCCAATAATTATTACTCTTTCAGATACCCTTTATCATTAATGGTCAGCAAATGAAGTTTATGTTTGCTCTTGACATATTTATTAAATCTTATGCTTTTTGTATCCTAAATCTGCTGTTCTGAAACCCTGTTATTAATTTGGATGTGCTTTAGAAAATGAAGAAAAGATCATATTAACTGAAAGTTCATATTCTCTAATGCAGATTGAGTGAAAAAATCTTATACGTTCTATACAAAAGCATTTGGATAATTGACAAATTGCTTTTTAAATTGGAGCGTTTGTATAAAAATCTGCAGACAGAGCAGTCAAAGCAGTTGTTACTTTCCAGTTATTTTTATGTGCATGTTGCCTTTAAAAATTGAAACTTTTGCTTTACAGCAGTTAAATATATTTTAGAGATTTGATACATAAAAAATTAATGTAAAGAATGAATGGTAGTGAAGGCAGTTTGTCATTGTGCTGTTAGTATAGTACCTCTCTCCAGAATAAAAACAAAAGCAGTTGTTAAAATTTCTCAGAGGATCTTCTCTACTTGGTAGATAAATTATTGAGGTCATACCTTCTCATGGGTAGTGAAAGTGGGGGTGTTTAGGGAATTTGCTATGTTTTTAGTTAAAACCACGCCTGGGCAGGTATAAAAATGTGTACATTAAACAGTTTATATATATGTGTGTGTGTGTGTGTATATATGCACACACATAAAGACAGTGATGAGTTGGCATGTACATGGACTGCTTTTTAAATCCACATGTTTAGGGGCTTCCCTGGTGGCACAGGGTTAAGTCTCAATGCTGTTGATATCAAGTTATTGCCAGCCACTCTGGGCCAGGGAGCTGACCCACATGGCATAGCAGACCTCTCCTGTCTCCCTGCTGCTCCCCTCAGCAGTGGATTTCAGTGGATCTGCCTCTTCTGCTCCCCACTCTGTCTCTGGTGAATCCTCTCACCCTCTTCTCCCCCACCTCCCCCACCTCTGGCCTACACCCCAGTTCTTTTTTTTAAGATTTATTTATTTATTTATATAAGCACTGGGTACAGTCAGAAGTGTGGGAGGGTGAGAGAATTCACCAGAGCCAGAGCGGGGAGCAGAACAGGCAGACCGACGAAGCACACTGCTGAGGGGAGCAGCGGGCAGCAGGAGAGGTCTGTGCGCCATGCGGGACCCTCGCTGGCGGCCAGGTATCGAACCAGTGCTGCAGAGGCTGCGGGCAGCTTCTTCGCAACCCAGCGCTCAACTGCTGCGCCACCAGGGGAGGCCCCACCCCAGTTCTTGTATGCATAAATAAAGTAAATGTTTAAAAAATGCACATGTTTAAATGTGAACACAGAGATTAAGGAGTAAGTTTATTTCATTAATCAATTCTAGCAACTCAGCTCCATGAACATTTTAAAATGCTTCTATTTATGAACATTTATTTCTTAATTTAGTGATAACATTGACACACAGTCATGCAAAAAGCTGCTTCGAAATGCGCACATAAAAGTTCTGTGCAGCTAAAATTTCTAGTGTCTTCTTATTTTTGTTTTCATTGAAATGGGTACTTTCAGGGCTAAGGTGCTCTGGAGACCAGCCTCTCTATTTTTTGTGGGAAACTCAGACTCAGAAGATTCAGGGGCATGAAGCAAACTTGGTGCTGCCCTGTTCTTGTGTCTGTGACTTGCTAAAGTGACAGCTAATCCTTGCAAATTTAAAAACAAAAACAAGTTTTTGCCATAGTTATAAGTTAATTTAATTTTGAAGTATTTGGAAACTTTAATTCCATTTTTCTTTTTTTTTAAAAAAGATTTATTTATTATACAAGAACTGGGGTACAGGCCAGAGGTGTGGGTTGGGGGTGAGAGGACTCACCAGAGACAGAGTGGGGAGCAGAACAGGCAGAGTGACTGAAATACACTGCTGAGGGAAGCAGCGGGGAGACAGGAGAGGTCTGGTGTGCCATGTGGGTAGCTCCCTGGCTGGGGCCTGAACTCGTCCTGAGTGGCTGCGGATAGCTTGACGAAAGGTGATTGGATTCTCTGTATAGTTGAAAATAGCTGAGATTGGGGTTTTGTGGCTATTTGGGTGTGGAGAGAGTGTGTGTGCCACAGATGATATCAGTGATTTGATCCAAGCAGTTGGAAGAATGGAGCAGCCACCCATGAGTGTGAGGACCGCCGGTAGGGCGGGTGTTGGGTGGCCTAGGGGAGATCCAGTTTAGTTTTGAACTTGCTGAGTCTCAGCTATCTCTAAAACAGTGTGGCAGCAGAGTGAGGAAGGAAGTTAACTATAACTAGGCTAAATAAAGAGGCGAATTTGGAGGTGGATGACATTGTGATGCTCTTTAAGGCCTGAGAATGTGAGCCGCAGAGGGGTGTGGGTGTAGATGGGGAAGTGACCCAAGTCTGAGAGCTGGGGTGCGCCAGCCCTGAGGGATGGGTGGAAAGCAGCCTGCTGATAGTCATGTAAGAGGAGGCCTGCAGGCGGGCACTGGATGTGCTGCGTGGCATTGTCATGACCTTGCCAAGAGCACCTTCTGTGCAGGGTAGTCGAGCAGGTTTCTGGTCTGGGTTTAAGAGAACACGCGAGAAAGGGAATTATTGTAGGCGTATTCATGATTCTTCCGTGGTGTTTCCCTGCAAAGGGCATTAAAGAGATGGCCCTGAGCAGGTGGGGAGAGTGGGGTCATTTATGGGTTGGTGTGTGATGTGAGCAGTGATCAGCCGTGGGGAAGTTGTGGGGAGGTGGAAGAGATGGAGTCCACGTGGGGAGGGTGCCTTCAGAAAGGTGATGGAGACTGGGAACAGGGTGGGTGCAGACGTGGAAACACACAGATGGGCGCGTTCCAGTTTTCTTCTGATTTCCTGAGTTTGCCCAGTGAAGGAGGAAGCCAGACACCCGCCGAGGTTGACGACGGCCAGCGTCTCGGGTGTGTGAAATGTGGGTTGGTTGGCGAGGAACGTGTGAGAGCAGCGGTTTGCTTTCCAGGAGCGTGGCCTCCAGGTTCTGGTTTTCTCCAGCCACATCCCCTGCGAGGGTACAGGTGTGACTGCGGAGGTGGAGTTGACCAGTGTTGTGGTTGTGCAGAGTGGAGTGGGAGGGAGGTGCGGGCATTGGTTCGGGGACGGCAGCGATTAGCAGTGGGAAGCGCGCCAGGCCGGGGCGCGGGTCACTCACAAGCTGGTGGGCTTATTGCGCTTGTCATTTAGCCTGAGTGTTTCAGGCCAGTCAAAATTTATTGCCAGATTGGCAGAAAATTACTTTGGGTAAGAGAAGGAGGAGAGTTCCTAGGTTCTAATAAAAATAATACAATATTTTTATCTATTAATGCATTTTTTTTGCTTGCCAGTGATGGTGTAACTGGCAGCCAGGAAAGGGCCTGGCATGTTGCTTTAATCTGATGGATTTTCTCAGCCGTTCCCTTTGAAAAGTAACATAAGAACAAACAAGTTTACATATTTTTTTTTTTCTTAAAAAATACTCTTCATTATTGAGTATTTTTAAAATAATTTATAAAGAAT